TCTCCCTGTCTCTCTCTGTCACCCTTTTCTCTCTTTCTCCCCGCCCAGAGAGAGGATTAAGGGCCACAGGCTGCAGGTCGGGTCGGGGGGAGGGTAGGCGGTGGAGGGGGAGGGGAGGGGATTGAGGGAGGGGTGGAGGATAAAGGCTGTGATGGGTCAGAGAGGATGAGTTGAGCCAAACCTGTTTCAAACTTGGCTTTGCTCTCTTGGAACTTCCAGTGTTTGTTTCCCGCCAAACTGCCTGAAGGCTACATGTCTGTTTGCAGCCCCTGCACTGTCTTGTGATGTCCTCACACTATATGTAGAGCTCATCATTTACAGTTTTTAGATTCTACATAGGGACATTTATCTGTTTTTGTCTTGAATATTAACTTTTTACAACCAAATGTTCCACCTGCAGGACACTAGCATCATGTGCATCTTTCACAGGCTGCTAACATTATGAAAAGTTACACTATACAATATGTATGGATGGATTACACACTCGTCTATTTAGTCATTGTGGTTATTTTAAAAGAAATACTGCATAAAAAAACAGTACAAGTATACGCCTGAAACCATAAAGGAGTAGAAAAGAGTTAGATGAGAAGATCAATATCGCTCTCATATCTGTCCATCAAATATGAAGCTACAATCAGGAGACCATTAGCTTAGCTTAGCATAAAGACAGCAAACAAGGGGAAACACATAGCCTGGCTTTGTCCAAAAGTAACAAAGTCTGCCTAAAAGCATTCTAAAACTCACTAATTAAACATGCTATGTCTTGTTTGTTTAACCTGTAAAAAAAAGTGTAAAAAGGCAAGCTCCTTACAGTCTTAATGCTAAGCTAAGCTAACGCTCTCCTGGCTCTAGCTTCATACGTCGGAGCTGCTTTGGAAGCAGAAATAATCACACTGGTTGAGGTTAAGGGCTAACTGATGGCACAGATGGTCAAAATATATAAAAGTCATAAAATCAGCCTTTGACTCCTCCCTCTGAGGTTTAACTGAGCCAATGTGATTACTGCTGCCTCCAGAGTGGCTGTGTGTCTCCACTGAAGGTTTTGGATGAATAAAACCAGTGTGTACAGAACAAGTGATATTTTGCCTGTGTTTATTTGTGTTTGCAGATGTACCTTGGTGAATTTCTCGGCACTCTCCAGCTCATCGTCGCTATCTGGCATCGACTGGTTCAGTCTGGTCTTCACGTCCTTCAGCTGCAGCATGCTGTCTGCTAGTCCGGCCTCACAGCGCTCCCAGTTCTGAGACACAACAACAACAACAACAAAAAACTCCTTGATCACACAGATCAATGCATGGGGTTCTAAAAAAGTTGATTGGCTTTGAGAATGTTAAGAGAGCCATTACACGCTGTGTTTGTCTTCCTAAACATGTCCACTGTCATTAATTAGAGCAGATTGGATTAACTTGGCCGCTCTCAGGCAAACAGAAACCGTCAGAGGCTACAGGGGACAGATGGAGGATCCAGATCTTCAGCCCAGGTTGAATAAACAAAAACTCAGCTTGCTTCAGACTATCTGCAGCTGATTCAAGACAGTATGCCCTGTTTTTATTCTATGACTGTTTCCAACAAAATGTATGCTTCAGTGTGTTTACCCTACATTTAGAGGGTCCACTATAAAGCCGTAAAACATCCAGGACTATTTGGAAATTGTGGGCTACAGCAGAACTAGAGCTATTTGAATACATTTATAACCCTAAGCTGTTATGATTAACTTTTTTGAATAAAATAAATAACCAAAAAAAGCCACTGCTTCAGAGAATACTTGTCATTTACTTACACGCACAATTTAAATGGGAATATAACAGAAATCAGTCATGGAAATATAAATCTAATAAAACTAAATTATTAAACTAATATATATCTGACAGAACTGAATCAAAGATTGAGAGGATGCACAGGAGCTGATGTAACTGTCTCAGGGGAACAACAGAGCAGCACCCTGCAGCCGGACACTGAGACTCAACAGATAATGTTTTGAAAATTGCATTGATTTTGTCTGTCCGGAAGAATCTGAGCCTCCGATTTGACTGACTGGAGGCCAGTGGTTTGGTTTCATGCAACTGAGCCTCCAACATAACAGAGTCATCCACAATAACAGTTCACTGGCCAAACACATGTGGGAAGAGAGCAGTTACAAGATCACATTTCCACTACGTTAAAAACGTGATACCTGCTCTTAGACAGCACAATGGAAAATAAAACCAATCCTTGGTTAAGAGATAGCTCTCATTACTTATTATACTGCTGATACTGATATTCTGTATATTTCAGTTTTTTCTTGAATTATAGGGGTGTTTTCTGCTCTGTATGTGCTCAGCTGGTATTGTATCAAACGGACAAAAACATGGATATATATAAATATATATATATCTATCGTTTTTTTGGAAAATGTGCATCCTTTTCAAAGATCTAACAACTAAGGACCAAATAAGATCAGTTCACACTAAGTCATGCCTCACAGCCAAGACCAAAATAAGACAGTAAACAAAAATAAAGATAGTGGATACCAATACTGACCAGGACCAAGATAAATCCAAGTCATAGAAGACACAAACAACATCTAACATTTGAGAAAGTTGGGCGACTGAGCTCCAAACACCAACACGATGTTCCTGAAAGCATCACTTCAGCAGAAGAACTGGAGAGGAAGTACCTTGACGATGGCCTCTGTGAGGTCCATTCTCCGGCCAAGCAGGCTGTGGAGGTTGTCCCACTCCTCCTGCAGGGTTCCCAGATCCGTCTGCAGCTGAGTTTGGGTCTCCTCGTCCCCCATGCAGAAGAGCTGGCGACCGACGTCCAGAGTGTGGATGAAACTGCACTGATACCTCTGGAACAACAGCTCTGTGTGCTGAGGAGCAAGATGGAGGATAGAAAAGGTTAAAGATGGATTTCTAACAGACGAGAGGAGGAAGGAAGGACAGAAAGAAGCTAAAGAGAGGAAGATGAAGAATGAACTGTGAATCTTTTCAGCGAGGGGCTCGACTGTGCCCTTTTATTGAGGAGCAGCTCAGTGTTTATTGTATCTTCACTCACAATCAATTCAAATCTCATCTCTTCTCTTCATGCTAATCAAAGGCTCAAAAGGAGCCGGAATAGAAACCCTCGTCCTCGTCTCTTTTCATGTAAATGTCATCAGCGGCAGTCGTTTCTCTGTCTTAAATCAGCCGTTTGTTTCTGCCTGTGGTCGTAAGCTTCTGATCTTAATGAATTAACAGCCGTTTTACAGACCATCAGCTCTCTGCAGGGAACGTTTTACAGACCTGAAAATGTACGTAAAGACAGTTTGATTGTTTCTGGGTTTGTTTAAGGTGTGAAAAGTATTTTTTAAAGATTAGGGACAGTGGTTGGAAAGTAACCTTTAGTCAAGCACTGTCGCTACTGTAAGTACAATTTAGAGATTCTGGCCTTAAAAGTCTATGATATTAATTGTATTAACAATGGAAATTAAATAAAAAAATTCCCATATCTTCCCTGTCTGGAATTTAGTGTAATTTACTGATATTCCAGCCCTGTCGCTGTCGGTCTCACCTGGAGGTCTTGGAGGGAGCGCCGTAGATGCTGCAGGCTGCAGCGGGCTGGTCCTGCGGGGGGAAGGAGGTTCTGCGTGTCCGACAGGAACCTCTGCAGCTTCCTCAGGCTGCGGCTGTACAGGTGCCAGTGCTTCACCAGCCCCTCCACCAGGGAGCGCCGCTGGTCCGCCCGCTGCACCGCCCCCTGCCAGTGCTCCCGGAGCTGGGCAAGCTTTAGGATGAAGTCACTCCTGGAGAAAATGAACACAGTTAAATGTCCTTAAAAGTTTAGATATTTCCTGTCTGAAAGGTTTGAAAATCAGGGGATTAACAGAGTCATTTAAACTGATCTTGAGTTTGTACAAAAGTCATCAAAATCCATCCAGGAGCTGGTCAAAATACTGGACAGGCCAACCAATATGTGCCACTGCACAGAGCCACAGTCTTGGCTTCACTAAAAAACAAAGAAGGTCCAAACTTTCACCAATATAATAAAGCTGTGTCCGCATTGGCCTCTTTATTTTACTAACAGCAGTTGCTTTACAGTCTGATCCTCTTACCTGTCCTCTACCTCTCCTTTCTGCAGCAGATGAAGAGCTTCAGAGATGACGGAGTGAAGGATCTGGTGACCAATAGACAGCTCTGCCTGAAACCGCTGAAACACCAGGAGACATCAGGATTACATCTGTGTGTGTGTATTCGTGGTGTTTTTGTTAAGACTGTCGGTGAGTGTGTGTCTGATACCTTGTGTGTGCAGAGCTGCTGCCTGAGGCCGACATAAGAGCCAGCCACGTCTACAGCCAGACTGTCCTCCATCCTCTGCAGGAAAGACATCCAGCTCTCACACTTCTGCTCAAAACTCTGCCGTCTCAGTTCCTCCGTCTGCAGCTCACTGTACACCAAAAACCCCAGAGAACACAAACGCATCTGAAATCTGTGCTGTAGTACATTTTATTTCATTTAAATGAATGGTTGTCACTCTCTTAAACAATTAATTTCTACTTAATTGGCTATTAGAGTAGAAAAACTGTCCTTAAATGTTTCATTTTATACAAATATCACTGTCACATATTGAACAAAATGAGTTACCGCATTGCGTTGTAACATGACAACAGGGTTTTTTAGTCTTTGGACATGATATATCCGTGTACAGATCTGAGGTCTGACCTGCAGGCCTCCTCGGCCCTGGCGCAGGCGTCGGCCCAGCGGTGGTTGAGGCGTTGCAGACGGCGTGCTGCAGCGTCGCCCAGCGTCAGGCTGCGGCTCAGCTCATTCAGCACATCCAGGTCAGCAGACAGGCCGCTCTGCTCTAGCAGGCCAGACTGGAAACATATGGTGGCATCTCAGATCACAGGGGATCACAACAGTCTGGACTACTGCACGCAGGACACAAGAACTACATGCTACACACACATCCTCCTGTCCCTGTTTAGTCCGCTGTTCATTTCGTGACTCATTGTTCTGTAATTTCTCCTCTCAGATGGAGACAAACACTTTATTAATGCCATAAAGTATCCTTAGAGAGCTAATTCTATTTAACACATCTTTAGGTCTAATAGTGAGCACTAACAGTTGGATTTTCTAAGGAATATATTAGTTCAGTCTTGACCTTTGAAACATCAAAGAATCTCACTACAGGTTCGATCTTGAGTTGTTTAAAGATTTCAATCTTTTCATGATCAACTTTTACACCAACATAAACAAGAAGTCTCACAAGAAATGGAAATTCAAACATCTACTATGACATGAAAACTGAGCAAATTCCCTCTGCTGAGGAGGATCAGGACACAGAATACATACAAAATGGTCTTTGTGGTGAGACTGAAGAAATTATTATTTAGTATCTTCATACAAGACAGAATAAGACACTGGGATCACTGAAATCATGTAAAATTACCAGAAAAATCTTGTAGATTTGTACTAAAAATAAACTCCAAAAACTCTCATTTCCAGCTCCTCTAAAGAAAACCAGCCACAATATATTTAACACAACAATTCCAGACATCTTTACTTCAGTGTAACAGTCTCTTGCTCAGTGGATTACTGCAGGAGAAAACAGCGGCACTACAGTCATTCATAAAGTCGGCTCGTGCTGTCTCTTACCTGCTCTGCTGTCCGAGCCTCATCCTGCAGACGCTCCTGCCAAAGCTCCAGGTTTCTCTCCAGTGCCTCCAGGACCTCTCCAAAGTCCTGCAGCTGCTCGAGCTCCTCCTACACGTAAACATGACACACGGCCATCTGTGTCTTAATTTATAGGTCACTGTGACACTTACTGTAAGTGGCAGGTTAGGACACAAACACACAGGTAATGCAGTGCTCTGAGGACATGCCTGAATCATGTAGTAGAGCATAACAAACAATACAATCTAGCTTGTTTTCGATTTTACACTTCATAAACAGTGAGACAATAATAATAATGTAAATACCAATCTTCTTGGATAAACAAGAAAATACACTTACAAAGCAGCAGGTTGCTGTAAAAAGCTTTACATTAAGTTTGTACACAACAAAAAGTCATTGAATCATTGAGCTGTTGCAACAGCTGAGCCCGTTTACAGCTTATACACTTAAACACTGTCCTCCAGTTAAAAGTGTCATTACTTTGTGTGCAGTTCTCTCAGTCAGCCTGGACACACACAGACTCATTCATTCATGAAGCCGTACCTGCAGCTGACCCAGCTTCCCTGTTAGTGTCCGGCTGAGCTGCTGGATGCCACGTGACAACAACCGGCTCTCTGATTGGACCAGACTGGCAGCTGAAGGTTCCAGGTGGCCAGTCAAGTCCTTGGAGGCCTCCAGCACCCCCTCCAGGTCAGACTGCAGAGTGTCTGTCCTCTCCAGGAGACCCTGGAGTTGGAGAGAAGCACAGGGGCAAACAGGGGTACAGGTTCAGGTTGCAGAAGTGAAAAAGACTGGAGCGTTTTCATAGCATGAGGTGTTGTGAGATTGTCCTGCAACTGGGAGATTTATTTATTTACACTATTATTATTTATTTAGTCTTTGAACTAGTGAAAAATAAAAAAAAGAGCATAAAAATGAGAGTAAATGGGTATAAAAACTGCTTCCAACCCAACAATCTGTTCAGAGAGCAGAAATAAAAACAGCGTACAAAGCTTAGTTAGATGTTTTAAAATGAACTTTGCACTGTGCAAATGTAAAAAAGTTTAAAAAAATCACTGAAAAAAAGCCTTTAAGCTGAAATTGGTACACTGACAGTCCAAAGACTTTTTATTTGATGTTGAGAAGTTTCAGAATTAGAAAAACTTTAAAAATGAGAGATAAATGTGTCGCTAGAGGAATATTTAAAGTCTAACAGATGGTGAGTTTTGAAAAGGACGTGGGAGTCACTGAGAGTGAAAAACAAACTTCATGGAGGTGTTTTTACTTTGTAACATTGATGATTTTGACATCTTTAAATTTCACTTTTTCCACTTCACAGCCTCCTTCCTATAAAAACTGAAAAACCTCAGACAGAATAAGAGCTTTTGGACATTGGAGCTGTTGGAAAAGGAAAGGTGAGTCACTGTAAAGTGAAAAACGCCCTTTATGGAGTCATTATCTGCTTTTTTGCTCCTATAAATGAATTTTCTTCCACTTCCTGTTTGTTGATTCCCTCACCTGAATGTCGTGTATCTTGACAGCGACCTGCTCCACAGTGTTATCGTCTGTAGACGTGCTGCTCAGCGCTGACTCAGTGTCACTCTGCAGCGCCTGCAGCCGCTGGGAGAAAGACGCAGCCAGGTGGGCGTAGACCTCCCACACCTGCAGGACGCCCCGACTCCTCTGGAGCTGCTGGTCCAACGCTGCAGACACCGCAGTCCAGCTGGAGGACGGAAGGGTGATTGATTTATTGTGTGGTGTTTTTGTGCGTGTGTGTGTGTGTGGCTGCATGAAGTCTGTCTCACCTGTCTCTCTGTCTGTCCAGCTGATCCGTGAGGAGGGCGGCAGCAGCAGGACTGATGATGTCTCTTAGGGAGGAGACGCTTCCACGCAGTTCGTCCCACTCTGCCTCTGAAGCTTCTGAGTCCTCATGAAGAAGCTGCTTCCAACACAACCAACACGTCAGTCATCACAGGTACAACAAACCCATCAGTCATCACATGTACAACAAACCCGTCAGTCATCACATGTACAACAAACACGTTAGTCATTGCAGGTACAAAATCCAGACAAGACCTGAATATTTGTTTTCAAGCTCCACAGCAGTGATTCCCAACCAGGGATTTGTGAAAAGGTTGGAGAGTAACTCAACTAATAGTTAAAATATAGAAATTCCAATTTAATTCCAAAAATATATATGAACATGTTTAGCCAGATGTAATGTAGTCAGGTGTTACAAATGAGAGAGCATGAAAACTAGTTAGTAAAAGAGCAGCAGTTAGCCAAAGGTCAAACTGTTGTAAACATTAGCCAAAAAAAGTCTAATATAAATGATTGAAAAATAATCTGATAAATGATGTAAAAGGTAAGCTGGATAAATGGTTGAAACATCCAACTTGTGCCACAAGTACACTATAAAAAAAGAAAAATTTAAGTTTTACGTCAAACTAAATATTTAATTAAATAAAATACTAATAAAAAATCTGTGTCGAAAAACTTGAATCTGTATTTCAAAAATTGTTAAAAAGGGAAAGATGTTTATATTTTAATATTTTTAATTGTGAGGGTGTTGAAGGTTGGAACATTGTGGAATAATATCCACCCATATCCCCATCCAACAATAAGCTGAGGTGTATCACTCCTACCTGCAGCTTTTTATGGAGCTCTCTGTGCGCCTGCAGGGAGAGCTGAGGGCTGCTGTGATGATCGAGAGTCTGAGATGTTCTCACTGTTTTCAGCACCCCACGGTTCAGTCTCTTCTCCACACAGTCCCACAGCGTCTGGGCCTGAACCAGCCTCAGCTTCACTGATTCATTCTGTTAAAGAACAGACGGGATGGTCCCATAATAGGGAGCAAACAAAGAGTTCATACTCCTGAAACGCGACAGTTACAGATGTATCAATCACAAATAACAAAAACTAAATAAAACACATCACAAAACACTTGTTCATGAGTGTCATTCACCTGTTGAGTGAGAGCGGCACAGGCCTGGATGGATTTCTCCGTCTGAGAGAGGAACTCACAGCTGCTGGTTTCTTCTCCACCATAAACTTTATCTCTCAACTCCTGGAGAGCTGCAGACTTCTGCCTGATCTTCTCCTCCAGATCCTGAAACACACACCAAACAGGGAGATGAAAACATCAAAGAGCAGAAGGATTTGTATCTGGCTGTATTTCTTTTTTTAAGGAATATGACTGAAAACGTAGCTCCAGGTGTTCTGGTTGTTCATGCAGATGTCAGAGTATGGATGTGACCTCTGACCTGGCAGGTGCTGATGCTCCTCTGCAGCTCTGTCTGGCTGTTCGGAGTCCGAGCTGAGTCGATCCAGAGGTTCTGATCTGCGATCCAGCTGTTGATCTGCTGCAGTCGGGCCTCCTGCTCCCCTCTGCTCCTCAGCTCCTGGTCCACTTCCTGGATCTGAGCACCAACGACACCAACAACAGCAACAACAGCAGGTCAGACATGGGGGCCAAGCACTGAAGAACACCGCAAAACCTGATAAGTTAATTTAACTCAAGATTTTGAACTAACAAAACTAATTTAGTGTCACTTAAAATGAAAGATGCCTAATCAAGAATATTTTTGTAACTTACAAAATTGAGTTTGTGTTACTTAAAATGTTCAACGTCATCCGTAACACATTTTTTTGAGTTAAAATAATTGATTGAATTCAAACCAGATAAGTTAATCTAACTAATCTAACTTCTGAAATTGATTACATCAAAAAATGTAAGTAAAACTAAATTAAGTTTTAAGTTAAAGAAGCATTCTTGATCAAGTAGCTTTAGTCATTTTAAGTAAACTTAATTTTGTCATTTTTATTTGTACTCTGAAAACAAAACACCATGTAAAAGTACTTAATCAGGAATGTTACTTTAACTTACGAAACAAAAAAAGAGTCACTTAAAATAACTGATAAAAGCTACTTAATCAAGAATCGTTTTTTAAGTTTAACTAAACTTTAATTAAAATTTAGTTTGTGTTTAAATAACTTATTGTATTATAGTCAATATTTATAGATTGATTTAAGGCCAAAAATGGCTGTACAGGGAAAAGAGATATTTAATCATAAACAAAATAACAACAATAACTTTCGTGGTGAAAAGGCAGTTTGGTACATTGACTCACAAAAACCTTTAAAAAACAAACAAACCCTGACCTGTTCATTTCCACTATGTTGCTGATGAAGACTGTGTGATATTTTGAAAGCTCCAGAAAAAAAACCTTGTAAGTCAGAATTGTTTTGTCAAAACTGAACTTCAGGAACTTCAGCATTAAGCTAAAATGGACAAGGAGTCTTAAAAGTGCAATGGTTGAATAAAAGTGCTACTACTGATGCGGCTGAAAGTTCCAGAAAAAGCTGGTAAGTGGCCCTTGATTTGAAATAGTTTGGTCACAGTCTGACGTTTGTTTTCTGACCTGAGAGTTTAGAGTTTCCTGTAAACTGAGCCACTGATGGTTGAGACGACCCTGCTCCTCTGCAAACTGGTTGTGCTCATAGCGCCCCATCTGACCCTCATCGGTACTGCATGTCTGTAACGGCTGGTTCACATAATCCAGTGTGGCCTGATGGGCCAACATCTCTGTCTGACACTCCTGAGAAAGATGGACAGAAAGAGAGAGTCAGTCAAACAGATATATAAGTACACAGACAGGCTTTAGTACAGAACTTCAGTGAATCCATTCAAAACCTCATTGCTGGCAGACAGTACCAAGGTAATCAGGACATTTATATCTGACTGTGGCAGACCATCATTCTGTCTCTTTTCTTTTTTTTTTATAAATGTTTTTATTCATTTTGACAGGCAAAAGTAAATACAATGGGAAATATTGACTTTTTCCTTTTCCAAAAACACCAACAACAACCACTAATCTACTACCCCCCTTCCCGGTCCTACATAATCTTGTTACAGATTAGTAAAAGTGAGAAATAATATACATCCTTCCTTTAAGCAGATAGACAAATATACAAGTACACAGAAAACAACAACATGCAGAGAGGTAGCATTGTCAAGAAATTAAAATAAAGCAGAGAGGGAAATGAGATATGGTGACAAGTTAATTGGCAGAGGTGAGCATATCATTTGTCCCGTAGTCTTTAATTTAGCTATGTGATTAATCATACAGCCCCAAACAGAATGACATTTTTCAGGTGTCCCCCTCAGATTATGCTTAATTTTCTCCCATTCTGTCTCTTTTCTACCTTGCAGTACTTCAGGAGCTGACTCAGATCGGTGCTGGTGGAGGAGGTCCGGTTCATTGGGCTGCGTTGCTCCTCCAGTCGCGACTCAGCAACTTCCAGCCAGACCTGCAGCTCCAGCAGCGCCCCCTGCTGGGTCAACGTCTTCACCCATCGCTGAGGAGACAGGTCCAAAAAAAAAATCTAAATCAAAACTACTCTCAAAAAATTTCTTCATTCTATTAAGTGTTTGAGTCCTCTGCTCTGACCTTCAAGAATTTCAAAATAATACGTTTTTGTACTCCTCAAATAAGCCAGTGGGAGATTCAGCTGATCCAGGATTTTGCTGCCCCTGTTGGAAAATATAGTTCCAGCAGGCTCTGTTTTAAAGCTAAAGTGAATCTAGCTTGTCACCAAGGGGGCTAATTAAGTTTTGGTGATGGAAAAACTGGCATGGCCATTTTCAAAGAGATCCCTTGACCTCTATGCTAATCCCATGCAGTTTTGCATGTATTATCAATGTGTCACTTTGCCTAGCATATTTTTGAATATTTCTGTATACTACAGACCCTAAACAGTATGGGAATTATATAAATTGGGTATGAATGGAAAGCTCAGACTCGTTTATTCAATATGTCCAATTCAGTCAGGACCACTTTTGTCAAAATAACTTTTATTCCAAAGCAGAATATTACATACTGGCGATATGACTCTGTGTCACTCGTGTGCCCAGCGTGCCTCACGGTGGAAAAGTTTACAAACAGGAGACCCGCGTCGGCCGGCAACCACCCCCAGGGGTCACAGAACAAGAGCACACCGGCAGTCGAATGGCCAATTAGAAAATTGACCTTCGATTAATCTAGCGAAAGCACACATTAGAACAGTCGACGGAGCTGGGTCGGGAGCGTGCGGTTGGCAAAAGGCATTAAGTAGAAGGAAGCAAAAAGAGATACGGCAGGCCTAAAGGCAGCTTAAATCACAGCGCCATGAATGATATTCCTGCCAATTTGGTGCTTGAGGAACCAAGCTGCAGCTGCAGCTGATGCGTGTCAGACAGTTCCAATAGAAGCCCTTAGAATCAGCTGAGCCATCCCAGCTGATGTGCGTTGTTTAGGACTAGCTTGATCCAGCTGATATAGAGCTGTAACGTGAGAGCGAGCCTCGCCACTGAGTTCGTGGCTGTCCTGAACTAAACGCTGTGCTCCAATTTGTATACTGCATATGGTCATTATGTCGCCCCCTCATCGAGTAGGAGAAGTTCACCTGCGTAACTGCGGCTGGTGGATAATTATAAATTTATTGTCACCTCCTAGGCATGATAACACCCTCGATCAGAACTGTCCAGGCAAAAAACTAAGGAGACCCAAGAGCCATCTCGAAGTAGAAGGATACAATCGCCAATCCAATGCACCAAACAGCCAGCACTTACAGAACAATCGTTCTAAAATGCAACAAGATTCGTTCAATACCAAATCCGCACAGCACTGCGATGTCTTTTCATGGTGTCTCCTCAACGGTCTTGGGGTCCTAATCTGGTAGTCGCTGGAGCGGGTGTGCGATCAACTGTTGGCTTAACATGAGCGTTTTGCACCCGAATCTGTGCGAAAAACTACACACTTTCCTACGTTTATTTATAAGGAGTTTATGAGAACATTGAGGCCCCCGTCTGCGTAAGGGGATGTCACACGTAAACCACCGTACCAAGCAATGTTGACATCAACAATGTACCGTTTCACTTTCAAACTAAATTCCATGAATTAATACGGTGATTACACGGTGTCGAAACCGTGTCGTTTAACTCTTACCCAACGTCCATTCCCGATCTGTCCTAGAGAGGTGTGTGCGTTTCCCCGCCCTGTCGTCGTGCTTTAGTCCTCGAGCATATGCGAGAGCCACAAGACTTCCGGTTATCTGTTCCTGTGTGCTCGGGACAGAGTTTAGCTGCGCACGTCGGCTTCACTAAGGGAACGGAATGCTGGGTGCGAGTGCGCGGTCTGTTCTTCGAATCCACAGGTGTAGCCGGCGGGTTTACTGCGAAGCGTCCTGCATCCGTGTGCGCGTCAAGTGTCTGCTGCCATATTTGTTCTGTTCATGCAGTATTTTATTTCGGTCCTGGCACATGCTACACAGCTACCTTGGTTTAACGAACTGCCCCGCCTAACCTGCCTATCGGTTGCTAGGTTGTGTTTGCTTGTGTTGTTGTTGTGTGTTCCGAGTGCGGGCCGACCGTCGTACACACGCAAATCACACACAGTGCTTTGCTCACCGCGCGCCCCGCCACCGCCAGGGCTTGAATCCGATTCAAAGGAGTCTCTAATGAATCGATATTGAAATCTGGGAACACAAATGATGAGGTTGCTGCTAATCGCATTGATGACTCCGACGTATGTCTTGACCTAATGAAGAATCTGCTGAGGGACACGTTAGATTTGACACATAGTGTTGGTTGACATTTCCTGTGATAAGGTTTGGATAAGTATGACAATACCAACACGTTCACGGGGACCTTGTGTTAAAACTACTTTACAGGGCTTGTGATCAGGAAAAACTATCAGTGCTTTCCTGCAACATACTGCCGGAACACACTTTCAAAAAATACCGCGATAATATAATTTTGGTCACTATAACCGTGAGGTCAGATTTTCATACCCTTACATCCCTAAGCGTGGGAATGGCCATCGTGCACTTCAGTCATGATGTTCTAAACTCTTATACATTTTTTAATTTTATTTTATTTCAATAGGTACCTAACCAAAACAATGTTTGAGCAGATTTATGACTGGAAAATCTTGACCCACAGTGCTGAGCTGCATCTCAAATTAATCTTTAAGTTCTCTGCTTTCAGTTGAATTATATCACATCTATGTAGCATATACTGCTGACCAGCCATCTCTTCTTAAATTTCTCAGATATAATCTTTATCTGAAATAAGCTTTAAAACTAAATTTGAACTTGAGAAGAAGGTGAGTGAGAGGGTGAAAAGGCGCAGAGAGGGAGGGAGAGAAAAGACGGTGAATCAGAAGAGCAGACGAGGTGAGGAGGAGAGAGAAAAAGAGAGGGACAGAAAATAATAAGAACGGCAGGAAGAAGAGATGAGAGGGAATGAAGAAGAGGGGGACAGGGATAGAAGGAGAGCTGAGAGGAGGTTGGGAAGATGGGATAGAAGGGCACAGGAAGAAGAGGAGAGCATTAAAAAAGGAGGAATTCAATATAGACAGACAGACAGACCGATGGAAGGAGGGGAGAATGGTTTCACACCAATAAGAGGAGAAGAGTCCTCAGGATGGCATTGTGCTGCACAGTGGGGATGTTTAAAACTAATTGGTGACAGGAGGACTGCGGCGTGGGTTTTGAAATACCAGACTGCTCTGCACTGTACATGTGGGCATGGAGAAGAGGATTTAAGTAAAACTTGTGACATTTAGAAACACATCAGAACAAAAACCTCCATTTGTTTTGTTATTTTGGTCACTGGCAATGCAGAAACCTGGACCTGATGTTTGTTATCTCTCTTATCTCTTCATTTTAGCATTTCAGCAACTGCATTTAGGACACTGCAGTTCATGGTTGGGTTCTTAAAGTTATATATATGATGGGGTGCCCAGTTAGCTCTTTGCTGCGTGTCATCCCC